TTATGATCCTGTCTTCTAGATGCGATCACAGGGTGTCCAGAGTGATCATGATTTAGATGGTTGGTCAGGATGGTTGCAGCTTGGTTTCAGAAGAGGGAGTCAAATTATTTTCCAAGGCACCTGAGGGTAGAACAAGAAGCAATGGGTGGAAACTAATCAAGGAGAGAAGCAACTTAGAACTGAGGAGAAATTGCCTGACAATTAGAACAATTAATCAGTGGAACAGCTTGCCTCCAGAAGTTCTGAATGCCCCAACACTGGAAGTCTTTAAGAAGATGTTGGATAGCCATTTGTCTGCAACGGTATATGGTTTCCTGCCTAGGCAGGGGGTTGGACTAGAAGACCTCCAATGTCCCTTTCAACTCTGCTATTGTATTGTATTGTATTCTAAATGTAAAAACAAAAAAGTCAACAATTTAAGAACTATAAATGTATTCAAGATAGTAACTACATAATACAGCCATAATCTCATTCACCAAGACAATCAGCACAGCCGCTGCACTGGCTCCACCGCACTCCCATGTCCCTTGTTGACAAAACGATGTCTTCAAGGCTTTGTGAAATGATTATTCCCCAGTAGCAATGGAAATTAGTGTTTTTTTTAAACTTATGAAGTGTTGCTGCTTTTACATTTTTTACATAGCACTGTTTCACTGTCATGCGATAGTGATGCTTACTTACATTGGTCTTGGAGATGCAACTCAATCTCAACTCAGATTGTGGCTTTTCCTTTGGCTTTTCTTTGCTGTTCTTTTGCCCTTTTTAAAAAAAAAAACTTCCTGAAACTCTGCTTAGCTGTTGTATATGTACAAAATAATTTCAAACCAGCTGTCAGTTTCCAAAGTTGAATCAGGATTGTGAAGAAGGAGCTGTCTTTTCATCTGTTATCTCCCTTTGAAGCCATTCCACATAGCCTACTGTAAAATAATTTTAAAAAAACCCTCTTCCTCAGTGTGTTTCCTATTTTAATTAATTTTAAGTAATTCCCCCCCCCCTCCAAGAAAATATAAATTCCAAAGATACTTAACTCAAGAGGCTTATAGACTGTTTATAGACATTCATGGAAACAAGAAGAAGGGGGAGATGGAAGCATGTGTGCAATAGCCTAATCCATTGATGGCGAACCTTTTCGGAACGGAGTGGCCAAACAGGAACGCACGTGCGTGTGCAGGCTGGAGCGCCGGGAACCCGAAAACCAGGTGGCCGCTGCGCATACACCAGTCTTCAGGTTTCCGGGGCGCACATGAGCACTGGTCAGTTGGTCTTTGGGTTTCCAGCGCTCCAGCATGCGCAAAGACCAGCTGACCAGCGTGCATGCTGATCTTCGGGTTTCTGGTGCTCCAGCACACACGCAGACCAGCGCACTGGAAACCAGAAGAGTAGCTGGCAATGGCACGGGTGCCCACGGAGAGAGCTCTGCGTGCCACCTCTGGCACGCGTGCCACAGGTTCGCCATCATGGGCCTAATCTGTTGTGTTTTGGGGTTTATTTTGAATTTGGGAAACATGCCCACATTTTTCTTTAGAAAGCATGCATTTTGAGAAGTAAGGGAAGTATTGCGTGGAGGTATTTTGGAGGCAATTTCAGATGCAAAAGATATTAGAGAAGGCACTTGGGCTTGGTTAGCGCTAGAATGGGGCTCGATAGGAATTTTTTTTAAAAATCACTCAAGGAAAAAAGCATTGACAAACCACCCCTATAAGAACCCCATCCCTGCAGAGCAGCCTACTAGTGGAGGTGAGAACTGCCCCCTTCCTTTTTGCTTTCCAGAAGGGTATTAAAACCAGCTTTGTTGGTTAGACTGGGACCCTCAAGGGTCGCACAGCACCGAGGTGGATAAGAAGGTGGGTAAGAAGACCTCTTCCCCGTTCCCGTCAGTCTCTTAGCTCCTTAGTTTCAGTTTTAGTATAGTTTTTAATAATATTTTAATCTGTGTAGTTGCTAATGTTTTAATACTTTAATTATATTTTTACTTGTTTTATCACTTGTAAGCCTCCCAAGAGTCACCTTGTAGTGGAGATGGGTAGCATAAAAAACCAATATATAAGAACTTTGGGGAACATGAGATGATGGAACTAGACAACTGGGAATCAGTCTAGACCAATGTAACCTTTTAAGATGTGGATTTCAACTCCTAGAATGGTCCAGTATGCTGGCTGGGGGAATTTTGGGAGTTGAAGTCCATGCATCTTAAAGTTGCCATGGTTGAGAAACACTGCTCTTAGACGGTATGAAAGAGGAAGAGGTGATGAAAGGCATTGAGAGAAAACCAACATTTGCACAGAATTTAGAAGCAGACAAGGAACCAATTAAGGATAATTTAGGCAGTGACTTCAGCAGGTGGCAGCTTAAGTAGTGACAAACAAAGTCACATATTTTTGCCAGTAAATTTATATGGAATAGTCCCTGAGGTTCCCAGGAATTGAATGTGACTCCAGGTAACTGTATGGAATTCAGTGAGACTTTGATGTAATAACTCTTTCCATTGGTCAGAAAGGCTCATTGGTGAAATGTGTGAAAGTGAAAACAACAAATGATGTTCAATTTCAGCCACCCACAGCTGTTATGGAAGACATAGATCTGAGCAGACATTTATGCTTAGTCATAAAGTATCCTGATTTAAGCGATGCAGTGGCTCAGTGGCTAAGACGCTGAGCTTGTCAATCAGAAAGGTTGGCAATTTGGCGGTTCGAATCTCTAGCGCCGCGTAACGGAGTGAGCTCCCATTACTTGTCTCAGCTTCTGCCAACCTAGCAGTTCAAAATCACATAAAAAATGCAAGCAGAAAAATAGGAACCACCTTTGGTGCAAAGGTAATAGCGTTTCATGCACCTTTGGTGTTTAGTCATGTCGGATAGCGCTGGCTCTTTGGCTTTGAAACGGAGATGAGCACTGCCCCCTAGAGTTGGGAATGAACTAGCACGTATGTGCGAGGAGAAACTTTACCTTATCCTGATTTACTAAACAGGTGGTTTTACTTTCTTTGGGTAATATTTAATGTTCCAGTAGAATGCAGAGTTGCATGATGTGGTGGCTCATCCTTCTTCAACTCTTCCAAATAGGGTGGTTGTATTAAGTCCCTCTGTGAACAGCGGCTGTCTTTTGTTTCTTCATGCAGTTCACTCGCGGCCAGTCACACGTACCCAGTACGACGAGGTGGAGGAAAAATTTCAAGACGGTGGGAAGTTCATGCGGAGTGACTGGAGGAAAGACACTAGAAACGAATATTCGCTGCCTTCCTATAGGTCCAGCAGCCATGTCCCAGAGGAGAAGGATTACTTTTCCAAAAGCAGCACCAAACTCTCTTCAGGGAATCAGGACTTCAGCCAGCTATCTTCATACGAACAAGACTATGGAAATTCCTCTGCCGTGGAAAGAGATTTTGCTGGCCCATCTTCCCGAGATCGGGACTATGACAACGCTGCCTCACGGGAACGGAAGTATAGCCACACTGCTATTCAAGATCCTTCCAGGCGCCGCGAGACGGACTACGATTCGTCAGAGCTGTTGGGCGACTTCAGATCAGCCCGGCTTCTGGAAGAGAATTACAGGACTGCATATAGTCAGAGTTATGATCTGGAGCAGAGTCTCGAGACTGCCGGAGAATTCAGCTCCGCTTTGAATGCTGGGAGGGGAAGAGGTTTCCAAGGGAAACGTGGGATGGCCACTGGAGGCCTGGTCAGAAGTAAGGAAGAGTTGGCTGCTCATCTCAAGAAATGGGCCACTAAAGCTTTGTCCCCAGCAGATGATCTTCTGTTAAATCCTTTGGGTCTCAGCAAGCTGAGAATGATACCTTCCCCTCACCTCCAACAAAGCCAAAGGCCGGCCCTGGCCTCTCCAAAGGGACTGCTACTGCCAGAGGCAACTCTGAAACCTACAGGGTACGCCCGGATCAAAGAGCCAGACTTGGAACTTCTAGATTCTTCGGATATTTTTGCAAATTTTGGGGTTGAAATCATCAAATGGGCTGGGTTCAATGAAATTAAGAGAGACCCGGAGTATTCTGAACTTTTCCGTTTGCTCTTCACATTGGAGACGGAGACCTGCGCCAAAATGCTGGCGTCATTTAAGTGCTTGCTGAAAACCGAGCATCAAGATTTCTGTATGAACAGCGTCAAGATGCTGCAGCACCCGGCTCTGAGAACCCCTAAAGTGGACAGCCAGTTTCTGAATCTGCTGTTGGAGAAAAGGGTGATGGTGACAAAGAATTGTTTCTTTGAGGTCATTAAGCCTTTCGACCGGTATATGATGCGGCTCCAGGACTACCTGCTCAGGAGTACTACCCCTCTGCTGATGGCCTGCAATGCCTATGAGCTCAGAATCAAAACTAACAGCTTCAGTAACTCAGGGAAGATGGCCACCGCTTTTCAGACGACGATGTCCCTGTGCCGAAAATCCTTGGCCCTCCTGGGGCAAACCTTCGCTCTGGCCTCTGCTTTCAGGCAGGAAAAAATCCTGGAGGCCCTCAGCGTCCAGGATTCGGCCCCTCCTCCTACCTTATTTCCCAATTTTGATACCTCTGCCTTGTTTGGGAAAGAATATATAGAAACCTTGCAAAGTTGGTTGGAGAAAAGTGGCTGCAAGATGCAGTTAAAGAGACCAGCTGCCAGTCCTCCAGCTCAGGGTGAGTGGAATGTCACGTAAATCACACTTGAAATTAAGCGTATGAAGATCTTTTTAGTATATGAGCAATTAGGAACGATGTCCTGCTTTTCATTTTATCTCTGTGAAATACACTAGGTTGAGGAACAAAGCCTATCTCAGAATGAGTGGAAATTAAAACTCAGATCATCTCAGGAAACCTCAGAAATATACTACCACTGTGTACTGGGAAATAGGTCAGCTGAGTAAGCATGAAGGGAGATCTAGAAAATGATGTGACAAAATGAGCGTATTGTTAAGGAATATCCCCCCCCCCCCAAGAGGGGGGCAGTTCAAAATACAATTACATGGAGATTTCTCTTAACTTGCTTGCTAAATGTAATACTTTGCTATCCAGGAGTCTGTACTGAAGAATGTATAAATAGCTTTTTTTTTTTTTTAAAGACTAAAAAGATTAGTCAGGGAACATTCTAAGTAAGGTTTTTTGAGGCTCTGTGAGTAAGTGAGGACAGTGGCTCCATGGCTAAGATGCTGAGCTTGTCGATCGTAAAGGTTGGCAGTTCGAATCCCTCGTACCGTGTAACGGAGTGAGCTCCCGTTACTTGTCCCAGCTTCTGCCAACCTAGTAGTTCGAAAGGATGTAAAAAATGCAAGTAGAAAAATAGGGCCCACCTTTGGTGGGAAGGTAAAATAGCGTTCCTTGCGCCTTCGGCATTTAGTCATGCCGGCCACATGACCACGGAGACGTCTTCGTACAGGGCTGGCTCTTTGGCTTTGAAACGGAGATGAGCACCGCCCCCTAGAGTCTGACTAGAATGACTAGCAGGCATGTGTGAGGGGAACCTTTACCTTTAAGTACAAATGGTAAGCATTATATATATTGAAGCTATGACCTGTGACACAAAGTCAAACTCTTCTGCGCACTCATAACCCACACATTTTTATGATACAGAATTAAATGGAATACATAAAAACAGTCTTGCTCACTTACTGTTGATAATCGCAATGAGTACATTTTATTAGCAGGAAGACGTCAAATTGCCATTTTAAATCATTATTGTGACTACTTCTTTCTCTCCCCCCCCCCTTTGTTTGGAACTTGTTTTTTTGTTTGCATAGCTCCACAACGTGCTGATAGGAAAGTTGTTGAGACGATTGAAAAGCTAGTGAACACGATGGCCTCTGGCATGTTAACAGGGAAAGAGAAGGCCGAACTGAAACACAACCCGGAGTATTGGTATTTATCTTGCTTGTTTCTTATGTTTGGACCCTTCAAAGTGCTTGGAGGCAATGTGTAGCTCCCATTTTATCATGTCTATGTGATATTCTACAACAGTGTTTCTCAACCGTGTCAACTTGAAGATGTGTGGACTTCAACTCCCAGAATTCCCCAGCCAGCATTTGCTGGCTGGGGAATTCTGGGAGTTGAAGTCCACACATCTTCAAGTTGACACGGTTGAGAAATACTGTTCTACAAGGTAAGTTAGTAAATAAATGGCTGGTTTAAGGTATCCTGTTCTATTCAGGAACCCGCTGATATGTGCGTATGCTTAAATAAACAAATAAATAGAGCTAGAACCATGGTTTTCAACTTGCTGACTGGGGAATTATAGAATGTGAAGTACATAAATCTTAGAGTTGGCCAAGGGTTGAGAAACAGTAATTTTTTTAGTCGTCCAATGAAAATGCTGCAGTTTGGGAACAATGAAGTCATTGTTGAAGAATGAACACTACTTTGTGGCCCTGTCTGCATCTGATAGCATTTTTTGAAGGATTAATGGCTGCTCACTAGTCACCTGAATTCAGCCAAGTGCTAAGCCACAACTGGTGGCTTTTTACACAGTATGGGTTAGCATGTTGCGCATAGGTTGTTTCTCTTCTTAAGTCTAGTAGTCTTACTCTGGGTGCTGCCTGCACTGTTAAGGAAACCGGCTTCAGGGAGATGAAGTCCCTGCTCACCAAGGGTGATTTCTAAAACAAAGTGTCATCTTGGGGAAGGTTAGTTGATGTGTCTACAGATCCTAGTAGTTGTTCTCTGTCTCAAGTGGCAAATTTCTCCTTGGAGAAGTTACAAATTCTGACTAGAATTGTGACTTATACTGTTTTTGAAACGTAAGAAGAATTGGAGCCACTGATCTCTCCAAGGAGAGGGAGCTCCATAAAACAGGGGCTACCGCAAAATAGGTTTTATTCATACCCATGTGCCTTGCAAAGAATGGGACACTCCCTGTAGGCTTTAGATAGAACCGATTTGTTCTCATGGTATCTCAGCTACTTTTGTGCTAGGCAGCTGTTGGTGTTACCTAGCTAGTTATAAAACATCTGTAGGAAAACAATCCAGCTCAGAGAGCACCAAGGACTCCACAGTTTTGAGATAGCCAGGAATCCATGCTTGATTATGAGGGCTCTCCCCTTAGATCAGGGGTGTCAAACTCAATTTCATTGAGGGCTGCATCAGGATTGTGTTTGATCTGAGAGGGCTGGGGAGTGGGCATGACTGGGGAACCCTCCTTCACTCTCATTATAATCTTCCTTCCCTCCTTCCTTCCTTCCTCCCCTGCACCCCATTTTCGCTGGCAGAGGGCTGTTTTCAGTCCGGCCCCGTGGATCCAGCCCATAGGCCTTGAGTTTGACACCCCTGGCTTAGATGAAAAAGCCATGGTGGCGCAGTGGTTAGAATGCAGTATTGCAAATTAACTCACTGTTCACCGCCAGCAGTTTGAATCTCACCAGGCTCGAGGTTGACTCAGCCTTCCATCCTTCCGGGGTGGGTGAAATGAGGAGCCAGATTGTTGGGGGCAATAGGCTGACTCTATAAACCGCTTAGAGGGGGCTGTAAAGCACCATAAATCAGTATATAAGTCTAAGGGCTATTGCTAGATGAGCCTTTGGAGGACAGGCGAGAGTGTTCTTTTTGTATACAAGTGGGGGAAGCAGGAACAGCAGAGAGCAAGGAGGGAAAGGGTTTGCAACAGGAGGGGCAGAAGGGGAAGGGGGCAGAAAGGAGAGGCCAAAGAATGGTGGGGGGAGGGTTGGAAAAGAGCTTGTATCTTTATTTGATTATTTTCCCATCCCCTCATAATCCAGGTTTCTCCTGGAGGAGGAAAGCCTTGAATACAAATATTATAAGCTGAAGCTGGATGAGACGGAGAGGCTGATGTCCACCGCCAAGGAAGAAACCAAAGACAAGAAGACCTCCGAGGAGCCAATCTCCGAAGCTGTGAGGATTCTTTTGTACAGGAGGAAAGTAGCAAGGATCAAGAAGAGGCTCTTTCAGAGGAGAAGGCCAGGGATCCTGCAAAGGGCTGCGAGGGCCAGAAGAGCCAAGAGATCCACCACTGGGACCCAGACGCTCTTATCTGCCGGGTCAGTGCTGAAGCAGCCCGCAACCGGCACACCCATGTCCAGTCCCAAGAGTGACCAATCCAACGGTGACCAGGCAGAGACGCTGTCCCTAGAGGAAGCCTCAAGAAACACGGACTCGCTGAGGCTTTCCGACAATTCCCCGTCTTTGATGAGCCAGTTCCCTGACGGTAAGTGAAGCCAAAGTGGAGCAATGCTCTTAGGAAACTCCACAAACCATTTCAGCTGGCGTATCTCAACCGTTGGCCACTTGTAGATATGTGGCCTTCAAATCCCAGACTTCCCCCAGCCAGCCAAGATTTATTTATTATTTATTAAACAATTCCATATGGCCACCCAACTCCCACATAGGTGACTCCAATATTAAAAATCCACAATGTTCAAAACCCATTAACGCTCCACTATACTACCCCAAATGTTTCTCATTTGGGGGGAGCGGGGAGAAGGGTGTTTTAAATCAATAGGGACCCACAAGAGCAAGGCTGAATATCCAGAAGTACTAAATGTAAGAGTGAAACTGCCGGTGTTCTTAAGTTACTAAGAATGCTTTCAGATCACCAGGTAGGCCAGGTCTGAACCTGGCCTACCTGGCCAAATACCAGTGAAGGCAGTGGCTAAAGGCCCGCCAGCATTCTGTACCTTTTTTTCCTGTCAACTGATCATCCACAAATAATACCCTGCTTCCCCGGAAATAAGGCCTCCCCGGATAATAAGCCCAAATGGGCTTTTGGGCGCATTCACTAAAATAAGCCCCCCCTAAAAATATTGCAACACAGCAGCAGCCATGAGGTGACCACGCTCATTGTCCCCTGCACTTCAAAAATAATAAAAACTCCCTGAAAATAAGGCCAAGTGCTTATTTCGGGGGGGGGGGGGGACGAAAATAAGACCCTGTCTTATTTTCAGGGAAACAGTATTATATCTTCAAAACCAATTATACAGAACATGTCTTAATTCGTTACTCCACCCTTCATCTGAAGTAGGAATGTTAATGTCATATTATCTAATTAATTTTCACACTTTCTGCTGCTGTCAGTTGATCCACTTTGCAGTGAGTTTGCTCACTTGTTCCATGTCACGGAGCTTCTTTCAGGATTAAATGTGCTCAAGAGAATAGCTGACTCTGCTTCAGATGATCCTGTTATGCCCACATTTTCTTCTAGTAAACAGATAGAATAAAATAAACAGAGTTGGAAGGGACCTTGGAGGTCTTCTAGTCCAACCCCCTGCTTAGGCAGGAAACCTTACACCACTTCAGACAAATGGCTATCCAACATCATCTTAAAAACTGTGTTGGGGCATTCACAACTTCTGGAGGCAAGTCGTTCCACTGATTAATTGTTCTAACTGTCAGGAACTGTCAGATAGTCCTTCACTTGTGACCGGTCAATTAGTGACTATTCAAAGTGAAAATGGTCATTCCCCCTCCCCCCAAAAGCTATTAACAACCTGATTTCATGTTAGGATATCCCACACATGCACACATGTTGCAGTCATGTGACCACGTTTTGAGGGCTTGGCAGCTGGCTCACCTTTGCAGCATCCCGTGATCACCTGACTTTTTTTCCCCTATTTTTTGCTGGTTTACTGGCAGCTTCCAGCACAAAAATCCATTGGGTAAGATGGATTCCCTTAATGACTGCCACAAACTATGTTGTAAAACCAGGTCTGGTCACATGGTGAAATGCTGAACAACTGCAATGATTTACAACTATAATTCCAGGCTCACTTACAGTCATAAGTCGAGGACAATTGTGTTATGTACCTCCATTTTTTTTCCCTTCCAACTTGAAGAAATTGAGACAAAACCAGTCAGGCTGAAGTTGCCAGGCATAGAGTGAGTGACAGATGAATCTCCTCCACTTTCATAATTGTGATTAACCCACAGAAGATGCAAAAAAGAGCAGGAGTGGAGATCGCAATTGCAGATGAGCTTTTGCTCTGTTACTGTTCAACCAGCTCAGCTTTTTGCCTTTTTTTTGTCCCAAACACATCTGGCTGCAGTAAGCAATCAGATGTTAGACCAGGGTTTGAGTGATGTGCCAAAACATGCTGAAGGTCTGGTAGCCATAGTAATAGATTGTAGTTAAGATTACGGTTTGACTGATTGGGTGATAAATAGACTACAGTGCTACTGCATACCAACCCCCTTCACAGCTTGGTGTCGGTTAGAAATGCAGTCCACGTTTTCTGGTGCAGCTGTGCACTTAGCATAACATTTATTTTTTTTAGAACCATTAGATTCTAATTGGCTCCCATTCTCAATCATCTCAACATAATTGTTAATCTGTTCTTTAGAAATTTACATTTACATAATTCTTGCACCATTTGAATCCTATTTCTCCACATATTGTGAATATGGGAAGCCACTGAGCCTCCAAGAAAGATTTTCCCCCTCCCACAATACCTTGCACCTAGTGCATAATAGAGGACAATCTCCTGATGAAGGAAGAGTCATGGCTGACTCTGTGCAAAGGTTCTTTTTAAAAAAATAAATTTTATTCAAAAACACTTTTTTGAAAAACAGTTTATTGTCAGGGTATATACCATTTATAAATAAAGAAGACTGAAAATGAAAAGTGTTGCACATTGACATACAAGCTAATAACAATAATAATGATATAGTAACAATAGTAATAATATAACAAAAAAGCTTTTAGCTACGTTTCTTCTTACATTAAAATATTTACAATTTGGTTGATTATTGTAATTATGTTTATATACATTCCTATTTTCAGAGCTAATATTTATGATCTTACTTTCTCTAATTCCTATCTCTCGCTTCTGCCCATTCATGGAATTTATTCAAAATCATATAATATTCTGTGTCTTCTTCACATTTAATTTTTAAGGTTAATCTAACCATTTTGGCACAGTCTAAAATTTTTCAAATTACAACCTCCTCTGGTGGGGTGTTCCAATTTTTCCTCTGTGTGTGTGTGTGTGTGTTTGTGTGTATGTATGTATATGTATGTAATGTCACTCACGCTACATCAAGAAATCTCCAGAACCATAAAGCCTACAAACTTGAAAGTTATATGTTCCTCTTGGCTTCTAGGTGCTCACTAAGAAAGGATTTTTTGAAATAATCACCAGATCATTAGCATTTCTTATACAGTAATTAACATGCTCCGATGCTAAGGAATTAGACATTCTACTCCCTCTCCCCACCTGAAAGGAACTCTGTTCCAACTGCCAGTTGCCTTATATGGGCATGGCCAGCTTGTGACTCATCTGGCCTGCAGGCTGGCCCGATCACATGGCTTCATAGCGAAGCACAGGTATCCAGCTACTTGTATTTAGCATATATGATCCTTATACAGCAAAGGTTCTACATGCAGATTTTCCCAAGCTCATTCTTTGGCATTTTTTATATCGGGGAGTAATGATTAAAAACATTTGAATGGGATTTATTCATGTTGCCTTTCGCTGGCATTCAAAATAAGACTGTATTGACAGTGCCTCTACATGTACTGTTTCCTTGCAAAAAAAAAAACAACCCTTTCCTGGATGGTTTCTTTCTCTTGCCTTTCAGTGGACCCTAAAGTCATGGTAACCGCTCAGAAGCTGGCTGAATTTGTTGCTGAAGTTGGGCCGGAAATCGAGCAGTTCAGCATTGATAACAGTGCCGATAATCCAGACCTGTTGTGAGTGCTTTGTTGTTTATTCCTTCTCTTCTCTCCCCCCCCCTCCCAGTTTTGCTTGTCAATGAAAAGTGCAAATGGATAAGAGAAATATTTTGAAATGATTCAATAATAGTTTAGAGCAGGGGTCTCCAACCTTAGCAATAGCAATAGCAGTTAAACTTATATACCGCTTTATAGGGCTTTCAGCCCTCTCTAAGCGGTTTACAGGGTCAGCATATTGCCCCCAACAACAATCTGGGTCCTCATTTTACCCACCTTGGAAGGATGGAGGGCTGAGTCAACCCTGAGCCGGTGAGATTTGAACAGCAGAACTGCAGTCAGCTGAAGTAGCCTGCAGTGGTGCATTTAAACACTGTGCCACCTTCAATTCTGGGAATTGAAGTCCACAAGTCTTCAAGTTGCCAAGGTTGGAGACCCCTGGTTTAGAGAATCCTGAGGTACTTGCTATATTGTGGAAATCCTTGCAAGACACTTGCAAAACGATTGACAGCTGTCTCATTTTTTTCAGACTGGGGGGAACTGAGATGGAAAGCAAGTTGTTTGATTAGGATCATTTCTTATTTGATCAACGTACAGGTGGGGTTTAATTTGCTGATCAGTTGTATTGCCGCCACACTATAGCAATAGCACTTAGGCTTACATACCACTTCACAGTGCTTCACAGCCCTCTCTAAGCGGTTTACAGAGTCAGCATATTGGCCCCACCAATCTGGGTCCCCTTTTTACCAACCTCAAATGGATGATAGAAGGCTGGGTCGAGCTTGAGCTGGTGAGAATGGAACTGCTGGCAGTGGGCAGAGTTAGTCTGCAATCCTGCATTATAACCCCTGTGCCACCTCTGCTCCCTATCTGTCAGACAAAAGTAATAAGTTAGAGCCGAGATGGCACAGGGGTTAGAGTGCAGTACTGCAGGGTATTTCAGCTGACTGCTAGCTGCAGGTCAAATCTCACCGGCTCAAGATTGACTCAGCCTTCCATCCTTCCGAGGTGGGTAAAATGAGGGCCCAGATTGTTGGGGGCAATAGGCTGACTCTGTAAACCACTTAGAGAAAGTTGTAAATGCACTACGAAGCGGTGTATATAAGTCTTAAGTGCTATTGCTATTGCTAAATACAATTCTCTTTGATGTGAGGGCATCCATTTTTAAACTGTCGGGTCATAAGTTACTCAAGGGAGGAGACTGTAACAATTCTTAGTGAAGCTGATCAGTAAACTGATTATAAGCTGATCATAAACACTGGAAGTCTTTAAGAAGATGTTGGACAGCCATTTGTCTGAAATGGTATAGGGTTTCCTGCTTAGGCAGGGGGTTGGACTAGAAGACCTCCAAGGTCCCTTCCAACTCTGCTATTGTAATGTATTGTATAATCTGGTGTAGACATGGCAAGAGCTTGCAGTAGACCATTTGCTGAAATTTGGCTGCATGGTTTTCACCCCATCTGGGTGCTGCAGATTGGAATCGAGGGCCTCAAAGTCCAGATTTGGCAATGCTTTATCTAACCTAACTTAGAGTTCTTTTAAGAAGAAAATTCTATGAGGAAGAAGGGTGCTTTGTCTAACCCATCACCACCACCCCCCGGGTCATTCAGGTTTTTTTGGAGGAAAAGTGAAATGAACTAGTTATAATAAATAACACTGTTCTAACACCAACACCACCCAACAGATTTCTGCAGGATCCAGAGAGTTCTGCCTTCAAGTTTTATCGCATGAAAGTCCGTGAATTATGCCCCTCTATCAGCTTTGGTGACGAGAAGGAATCTGGTGATGGTTTCCATGAAAGGTCTGAACCAAAGGAAAGTGAATGGGGAAACCTGGAGGAGGACGAGGAAGACGAGGAAGAGGACGAGGAGGAAGAAGCTCCCCAAGCTGAAATGGAAGCTGAAGAGGGAGATGAAGAGGAGGAAGATAGAGGGCCAACCGAGGAGCCAGAAGAAGCCATGTTGGAAGAGGAGCTTATGCAAGGGGAGCATTCAAAGACGGCTGAAGAAGAAGGACAGACCAGCAGCACAGCCGCGAGTGGCCTTTCAGAGCCACTGGCACAGGCACCCGCGCACTTTGGCCGCAAGAGAATGAGTAGCAAATCCCTGAAAGTGGGCTTGATCCCAGCATCAAAGAGAGTGTGTCTCATAGATGAACCAACAGGTGAGCTGGGGAAGTGTTTTGTGTAGGCTATGTGTCTTTGACCTTGCTCCTATATTGTGCAAAACATGTGAGGTCCTTGGTGGGGTTTCTGAGCTCGGTTCATACAGATGTGTCATTATCCAGCTGAGGTTATTACTTGGAACCCTGACATTAGCTAGATAAAATGACCAGTGCTAGGTGTTCTGATCTAGGCTTCCCCAAAAGGCATGAAGCAGATTCCTGGTCCTGACAAAACCCCTTTTTATTAGAAGAATGTGATTTCCTCTCATTCACATTCAGCAAAGGCCTGGTCAATAGTCTTTCAAAGGTGAATTTATGACCGCAGACCTAATCTATCTTGGAAAGCTGCCATGTAAATATTTTCCAAATGAGGTGCTGTGCAGAGAAAGACTTGGCACAGAGTCTCTGAGATTCACGGACAGATCCTCACACTCCTGAAATGAACGAACGAACAAATTATATACTGCAAAGGTTCACTCCTCTTTTATTTCCTATGGGAGGGGCCATTCACCGTCTACCTGTGGCTTTACTCCCAAGTCCACCCTGATTTCTTAGCTGTTCTTTTTTTCTGGCAGCTCTGCACATACACACACTGGCTCCAGCTGTTCCACTGCCTCACTGCTGCCTAGCTCCGAAGGCAGCTGGGAACTGTCAGACAGCCTTGGCCCCATCTCTGCCTCCGATGCAGAGCCCTCATCCGAGCCTTCCCCAGCCTCCAGGACTGGTCCATATTCCTCCCCAACCTCCTTACTGTCTGACTCTGCTGCCAGCTCTACTGGCGGGCTGCAACACTAGGAAGTTGTGGAGGTTATTTGCTAGCACCAACAATATTGCCTAGTTGGGTAATGAAACATCTGAAACAAAACAGTCAAGCTCAGCAATCATCCAGGATGCCACCATTCAACCCTGGGCTACAAATATTCTCTTATACGGGTGCCTTGTGAATGACTTGGGCCTTAGGTACCAATTTTGTGGCTTACTCGGTGTGTAAACCCAGTTTCTTTTAAATCATAAACTACGTGTTTTCTAATTTCATTGCAAACGTACCAGTCTGTGCTGGTGTCAGGCCGAAGAATGAGGAAAATTCTTACTGAATTCCTAATTACGACATGGGTGCGATAGGCAGGTAATTTGCACAGTGAGATTTCTAACAGCATATTACTTGTTGATTCATTTGTTTGGTTCTGCACTAAAATGTGCCCTTCTCTTTAACCCTCAGAGCTGATAAAACATATTTTCCATGTATGTCTTGCAGAGCTGCACGTAGCCTCCATCTCTCTTGTTGAAGATCAGACAGGTGTCAGAAGCATTGGAAAACAGCTAGCAAATGGTGCAGTTAATTGCAGTTGGCAGTTCTGAGTGATTTTGTGCTATGTTCAGACAGGTTTTGCACAACACAGTTAATTGAACAAACTCATGCTCTGGGTCAACACAATCAGTTAAATTCACCCAACGGTCCAAACAGGCTGGATTTGCAAAACTAGCGAACGGAAAATATATGTTTAAATGCTGCATTTAAAAAATAATCAACATGTCATGTAAATGTAGCCATTAAGCCAATCTGGTAATATGTGGATCCAGCCTTACTTGAGGGTATGTGTTGATTATATTGATTTTGTGATGATTGCAAAACCTTAGCTGACTTAGCACCAGGAAGCCCACGTTGAAGGGCTGCTCTCAGTCGCTCTCTGAGCCTGGTTGTTTCCTTGCAGACATTTCACTACCCAAACTAGGTGGCATCATCAGTGCTAGTGCTGTAACCTGGTTATAGGACAGTGAGGGCTAACCTTTTTGTCGTCAAGTGCTGAAAGTGCGCCTCCACCCACAATGCAATGCGTTCACGACCCTCCCCCCCCAGGCTCTCCATCCCACGCATATGCCCTGCCCCCCCCCCCCCCATTTTTGGCTTCCAGGTTGGTGCAGAACGCTTTCTAGGCCCATAATGGGGCGTACCAGGCCTCCTGCACCAACCTGGAAGCAAAAACAGGGCGTGGAGGCACAGTGCGAGGTCCCAAAATGCAATCCGAGTGCCCCCTGTGCATGCGCCCCTCCCCATGCATGTGCACACGCGTCCCTGCATGCACTACCCCACCCCCGCGCATGCACAGCAGAGATCTGAACATTAGCTGGCCGGTGGGAGGCATGCACGGTGGAGTTGGGCTCGGGCGACGGCTGGAGTGCCCACAGAGAGGGCTCTGCGTGCCACCTGTGCCACAGGTTCGCCATCCTTATTATAGGAGATGACCGGGCTGAGCCCAAGCGACGGGTCAAAAGTGTCATCAGTCATGAGTCCCTTTGCACCCACGAGAGAGCCAAATTCAGCCCACCTTGCATTCCTTCCTGTTCTCCCTCTAATTTTCCTTGACCGTTAGTAGTTCAGATTCTTAAGCTCACAATAAAACTTAATACACATTTGAAACTGCCCAGATTTCCTGATTTCCCTGGTATTGGACGCTAGTTTGGGTAATGAAACGCCTGCAAGAAAACAACCAAGCTCTTGAGAGCACCAATGGCCCCTCGTTCCAACCCTGAACTACAAATACAGGTAGTCCTCGACTTACAACAGTTCCTTTAATGACCATTCAAAGTTACAGCGGCATTTTAAAAAAACTGACTCATGACTGCTTTTCACACTTAACAACTGTTGCAGCATCTCCATGATCACGTGATCAAAATTCAAGACACTTGGCAGCTGACTCATATTTATGACGGTTGCAATGTCCCAGGGGGTCATCTGATCCCCTTTTGCGACCTTCTGAGAAGCAAAGTCAGTGGGGAAGTCAGAGCCATGTAACCACTCTGTTCCTATGCTAACAACTGCAGCGATCCATTTAACAACTGTGGCAAGAAAAGTCATAAAATGGGGCAAAACCCACTTAACAAATGTCTTGGTTAGCAAGAGAAAGGTTGGGCTCAGCTGTGGTCGTAAGTCAAGGACTAGCTGTTTTCTCCTTTATTGGAGTCCACATTGCATATAAGCCACCTCAGACTAAGTACGTGCTACCCTTTCAGATCATGTGGCCTCTGCCCCAAGAAGAAAAATAGATCTAGTAAGTCCAGGGGTGTCAAACTCAAAGCGGGGTGCTTAGGTCTGGCCCACGGTGCCTCCGCCAGTGAAAATGGAACTCGGGAGGGTCGTGTGTGTGGCAGAGGGCTATCAAAACAAACTCAAAACAAAAAAGGAGAAATGTTTCCCCTTTTGCATTTAAGCATGCAAGAAGGGACAGGAAAGGAGAAAGGAAAAAGGGGAAAGACAGAGAAAAAGAAGGGAAGATTGGAAGAGCACAAGGAAGGAAAAATAAGGAAAGGGGGAGGAAGGAAGAAGAAAGGAAGGAAGAGGGAAGGAAAAAGAAGGAAGAAGGAAGGGAAATTATAATGAGAGTGAGGGAGGGTCTGAGGGAAGTCCTGCCTTAGCACTTGGCCACCACAAGTGCCTGTGACATGAATGACCTTGAGATGGCCACGCCCGCCCCAGCCACACCACGCCCACCCGCCCCTTCCCCGAAGTCAAACACAATCTTGATATGGCTCTCAATGAAATCAAGTTTGACACCCTTGTAGTAAGTGATCTCAGATGTGTTACTCTCGGCTGAGTTAAATTTCTGATGGCTGTGGCAGTCATTTTTCTGGGTTGTTTGAAGTTCTCCGCCATCTCAGCCATTGGATTGAGGAGTCCTGGCAGGGATGCCACTCTGCTGCCCACTCAACTGCCTCTTCCGCAGGGTAGCACAGCTTAAGGCCAACAGAGTCTTGCAGATAACCACAGTAACCTCCCCTTCCCTGTCCAAGGAATGCAGATATCAAATACGAAACCTGAGTGAGCAGATTTCTGAGACAGGAACTTCCCCTTCCTCCCCCTTCCATCCTCTTCCTAGGGTTCCTGAAAGCAGAATTATATTTCAGTTATGAAAAACAGGATCCCCAATTACATTGTAAATTGAGACATCCAGTGCTTCAGCACTTCCTATGGCTAATCTAATATACCTTCTTTGGAGGCCATCCGCCTCTGATGCTGGAGACAAGGGAGAACTGTTTCCTGCTGTTGTGGCCCGCCAGCGGCCAACAGAGCTGGCAGTAGATTCGGACAGTGAGGAGGTTGGGGAGGAACATGGGCCAGTCCTGGAGTCTAGAGAATGAGGGCTCTGTGTCGGAGGCAGAGAGAGGGCCAGGGCTGTATGCTAGTTATCAGCTGCTTTCAGAGTCAGACATCAGTGAGGCAGATGAACGGCTGGAGCCTGTTCCCAGTGTGCGCATGGACAGAGTTGCCAGAGGAAGGGAACCACTTAAGAACGGGTTGACTTGGGAGTAAAGTCACAGGTGGACAATGAATGGCCCCTCCCAGAGGAAATAAAAGGGGAGGGAAGTTTGCAGGAGGCAATTAGTTTGTTTAATTGATTCGTGACTCTGAGACTCCTGGCCAAGTTTTGCAGATATCGGCCTGGCAACTCTCCAAGCCAGAGAAGGTCTGTGAGTTTAAATCCTCCCTTGAAAGACTTTGCTGGATGTGAATGAGCAGAATTCACAGCAAATTAATAAAAAGGGGTTTTCGTCAGGACAAGGTGTTTGCTTCATGCTCTTGGGAAGCCCCGGTCAGAACAATCTCTGGACACAGTAGTACTGATCTATATGGATTCCTGCTGTAAAACCCCAAAGTGCAATTACGTGACAATAATTATTTGACCTAGAATTGATTTGATCTCTAATTTTGCTTTTTAGTACATGATCCGGTGCGTATCTCTTATGACCGACCTCGTGGCTATCCTGCGTATA